TATATATATATGGCACATTTCCCGACATTGATTAGCATATACGATGTCAATTATACTTATCCTGAGGTCGGGAGTTCAAATCTCCCTTCACTGACGGCATCTTATGGAGGGTGACACTTGAATTATTATGCACACTAAAGATGATTGGGGTCTCGTATAAAAGCCTGTGATCATTACTTTCTAAAAAATATATATATTTGCATGAAAAAGTAGCATTTCATTAAACTTTGTCTTTGGTAGTAGCATTTCATTAAAAATTTAGACAAAGAAATTACATGAGCAAATACTACCTGGACCCAAACTATAACAAAATCATTAAAATATATATATATTGAATGAAATGCTACTACTAAAGAGTCTGGTCTTATGTTGGTGATCCACGAAGCTACCTACAAGAAATTTTTATTAAAAAAAAAATTATAATAAATGAGTTTGAAAACCCAAACCAAATAATAACATATTTATTCAATAAAAATTAGAAGACATCAAGGCATACAATATGAATAACAAAAGACTAATTATTATACACTAATAGATAAAAAAATGTTATCAAATTAGTAGGTTAAAATAATATTATATTGCATAAATATAAAATATCACATGCATTAAGATAGTCAAGTTCATAATATTTGTATAACAAACTATTTATGCTATCAAATCCATTTACAACATTATCCCATATAATCATACATTTTTTAAAACGAAGTATCATTACCTAACTAACTAATATATAAATGATTTTATCCACCTATTGACCCTTGAGATCATGTCAGGTAAGCTGCAATAAGAAAACTGTAAAACAAGCAAGCATCTGCATGGCCCTCTCATTTTGGATGATAATAATGCCTTCATTAAATAACATGGTTAGTTCTCAATTCTCATAGTTACACATTCTTTTCCTCTAAATTGATCTATTCCACCATTTACAAAACGGCTTAGCTCCCCAAGCCAACAAGTAGAAGATATCAGAATGCAAAAGGTGAGTCGAATAAAGATGCTGCACCTCACCTAGAAACATATAGCCGATAGCGGTCAAGAGCTTCTAAGACGGGATTCGAGCGAAAAAATGCCAATCACCACTTCGATGCCATCTGTGCTACTTCTCTAGCGCCCTTCCAACAGCGAAAAATTTCATCTGTGTCAGCATTTCGTAGTGCTGATTTTATAGAAAAGAATATGATGCGGCATTTTTTCGCCAGCTCTTCAAAGTGTTCGCTATCTTCATGTGCATGTTTAGGGGAACCAGAATGAATATCACAAGTTTTGTTTTCCTCTATAGTTTTATTACTATCTGACATTTTGGCCTGATTTCCCGTCTGTGAACTGATGTCTGCTTCAAGTTTTGCGGCCATGAAAGCTGCTCTTTTAATGCACATATGCGGCAACTGGAAGGAAATAGATCATATAAACGCTCCAAAAATAAAATGAAAAGGAAGATTTACATACATACCGCTCATTTCTTATGTATTTGCATATTTAGTATCCATAATTCAATTTTTTCCACACATGCCACCTTATCTATGCATGAAAATGTATATTCCATGTTTTAAAAGTTAAAATGGTGGTATTTTTTATGTGATATGGTATAAATGTAAAAAGCATATTTTAGGTGTTAGATATGTAAATACATAGGAATTGGGTGGTATGTATGCAAATGCCAGTAAAAATTGGGGGCTATTCAAAACGAGCAGAAACTATGAAAACAAAATTAATGGTTGATTAGTGCATGCAATTAAACGAACCTGAGCAAGTCGAGCAACATTGAGGCCAAAGCTCTTGTCAGATGCACCATGAATAACCTTATACAGAAAGGTCACGTCTTGTTTCTCCTCATCTCCAATATCAAATTCTGATTTAGATTCCATTAATTTCAAAGGTTTCTTTGATGTCAAATAAGAAACATGATATGCTCCAACTGATCCTTCAAATTTACTCTGTATATCCAGAATTTGGGGGTAGTGTGTAACAAAAAGAACCATAGATTTCTTCTGGTGCAGAAGATAATGCAATGTTGCATAAGCAATGGCGACACCATCATGGGTACTCGTTCCTCGGCCGAGCTCATCAATGATGACGAGAGACCGCGATGTGCAATGTTCGAGAATATGAGAAGTCTCATTCAATTCTTCAAAGAAGGTACTCGATCCATGTTGGATGCTATCGGATGCTCCCATTCGAGTGTATACCCCGTCGAACACGTGCAACCTTACAGACGATGCTGGTACAAAGGAACCAACCTAATGGGATCAGATGAAAATGTGATGAAGAAATTGCAATGAAAATATAATCAAAGTTTCTCAAAATTATTAAATTAAGATGGTTAACATTGCCAGAACATTTTTTACATATAATAAGGGGCATTAAAAGAGGCAAATTGAAAGAATAGATTAAGAAGAAATTGAGGAAAAATATTGTCAATTATGATGCTATATTAGAGTTATAAAATCATCTTTTAATCAGGCTACTTTCATAAGATGATACTCCTCAAGCTAGAGTTTCAGCTTGTTACAAAGATTGGAAGAAAGAAGTGATCACAGATGCTTGATAAAAATATCAATTAATTGTTGGTCACGGAAGAAATATGGAGTGATATTATTTTGGCAGAACTATATTTTGGACAAAGCGACTATTCAATTCATGAAAGATAAGATTGCTTTCAATATAGAAAGTCAAATCCTTCATCCAGAGTTAACACAAATCATTTTGCAAGCATAACACTGGATTGATTTACAACAATTTATTTAATATTTCTCCAGGACACGAGACTTACCGAAAAATACATAAGAACCTGAAATAGACTCCCATTTTGGATAGATCGAACACAAACAACATCGATACAAGCTTCATTTTTTTATTATGTTTTTGCTAGACTAAGGATTTTTCAAAAACATCTCAAAATTATTAGAATAACACCCTAGTGTTTCTTCTTCAATTATTGTATATGATGACTATCCAAACCAGCAAGAAAAGATATCAAGCTGAGTGCAATCAAATAAGTTTACATAGTAGGTGTCAATAGCAAGAAGCATCTTTAAGGATTTCTTCACTCTCATATAAATGCAAAATATCATGAGAAAGTCAATAGGTTTGCATGTAAGAAGGGGGAGAGAGAGAGAGAGTTTAAGATGCTCTCCTTCCTAAACTAAAACTTGATGCCAAGAAAGTTTTTGAAAGGTCCAAGTGTCCAGCAAGAAATGTCTTCCTGATGATACTATTTTATTTTATCAATGTTGTAAGGATCAGTCCTAATGAAAAAAATGTCATTTCTTTCATGTATAAGATATAATAGTATGTTTGGTAAAAACTACTGAACTATTGAATACTCATCCTTACTTTATCTGCATATGTTAATTTCATTGAAGGGAAGGGGGAGGACCATTTTGATTGACGCTGAACGTTATAGATAAAAGGAATGTCTTTTTGCTAAACCACATTTGTATTTTTGTAATTATGGGAGATAGTATATTTTTTATAATAGATCGATCTAAAGCATGATTGCTGTATGTAGATACTTTCACTTGCTAATGATCCCTGTTTCATTGGTTTTATGATCTATTAATGGCTCTGTGTTATTATAAATAATGGATGAAAAAGAATTCCTTCCAAATTCTTTCGGGTAATATCTGTTGCTGCATATCTGATACAATATAACTCACTCCGGTAAAAGAGTACTGTCAGTACGGGTTACCCTTGCTCTAATACAAAGTTAAAGTGCAACTTTTGTAATATATCATATTGGCTTAATCCAATGAGAAAGTATCTTTAGTTATGAAGATATATTGTAGTCATAAAAAACCTTTTTTCCAAACTAAATGTTTTCCTACGATAACAAGCATGACCAAACACAAATAGCAGCAAAGAGATCCATACATCATCGAAGTCAGTCCCACAACTGGTAAAAAAAAGTAATAATATGGCATGAACATCAAACATTGATCAGCATATGACAATAAAAAAATATAGTGTTGCTTAAGGTGGTATGCCTGATTATAGCACTGACGGCTATTCTTATTGAAGTACCCTTGGGCTACAAGCTTTGCGAAAAACCTTACTGATCTAGACAAATGTAAACTATAGAAGACGACTTAATGAGAATATTTACATGTGGGCACTCCCAAACAAGCAAAAGATGCTGCCGCCAGATGTTAAATAAGGAATGGTTACAAGATAATGATAAATAGTGTCATAAAGAAGCAAAGGTCTGGTTTAATCAATAGCATGACACAACTGATATGATCGAGGTAAAATCCACGCTGCTAGAGTTGACTTTACCGTTAAGAAGAAGAATAGGCAATTGATTAGGGTCATTTGGGATCAGTTTTAATTTTTATTTTTTGCTTTTTATTTTTATTTTGTTTTGTTTATGTATTAATTTAAATTAAAACATATTTTATTGAGCTAATTATTTTTAAAAACACTCAATATTTTTTAGGTGCTTTAAGTGTTTTTAAAAACAATTTAATTTATTTTTTAAAACAAAATATAAAAAACATAGAAATTATACCAACAAAGCATATTTTGTAAAACAAAATAAAAAATAAAAAAAATTGAAAACAAAAGTGATGCCAAATAGGCTCTCATATACAGGTAAAGTGTTTAGAAGTAAAAATCAAGAACCACACACATTTTGGAATAATAACTACAAATGGATGGAAGATGCCAGAGGCTTGGACGAAATAAGACTTGTTTTAATTGAATTGATAAAAGGTAGAAGAATTGTTTGCCATAAAGAATAAAACATCCGAGTAAACCGACAACAACATGACACAACTGAAGGATGGTGCTCCATCAGGAAGAAGTTTTCACAATTGATCTTCCAGTCTTGTATTTAACATGTAAAACCAAGAATTGTGGGCATCCCTAACTGATAAGTATAAAAGAAGGGAACATACCTGAGACATTATTGCTATAAGGGCGACCTGTCGAATGTAGCAACTCTTTCCGCCCATATTTGGCCCAGTGACTAACTGGCAAAGTTCACCATCTGAATGAAGGCACGTGTCATTTGGAACAAAATGTTCTCCTAAGACAGAATCCAGAACCTGATACAGAAGACAAGTAAATTGACAATGCTGAAAGTTGGAAATAAATTATTGCCCAGACTAACATTCCCATTTAGTATTATGAAACATTCAATTTTTTTACAAATAATTGCACTATCAATTAGAAGAAACTGAAAGGAGAATGTTCCAGTTGGTAAAATGGTGTAAAATGCCATATCTAGTTATCATATCCACAAGGTAAATGTCTGAATAAAACAAGATTAGGAAAAAATTTTAGATGCGCACATTATACTTATAACTGCAGCAGGTTGATTACAAGAATGGAACCTATTTAATGGTGATTTTAACATCTTCAGAAGGTAATGTAGAACTTCGGTCTGTAAATACTGAGGAGGTTCGAAGTAGATTTGTGTCATTAATATGTGTGGGGAGTGAGATTTGGTTGTGCTTGTTCTCAAATTCCTGTGTGGAATTCTTTCTCCTTTGTGAGCTGTATTCGAGGAGTTGGTAGTGCTTTAGTTGTATCCTCCCCGAGGTGATGATTGTATCATCTTCTTTTACCTTTCCCAAACCTTCTCATCACCACTCCTCAGCCGTCGAACTCTCCCTCTGTCACCTCAACACCCAGTCATTCCCCCTTCCTATAAGTTATTATTGTTGTCCTACCTCCTAACTCCTTTCAAGCTTCTCCCAACCACCACACTGCTATTGTCGACCACCTACAACCCTTCCCACTTGTTGTCCCTACAATTCTGCACCTTCCTTTCGCTACCACCCACCTACGGTTGTTGTCGTCGTCCATTTCAATCATCTCTATCCCTCTAGCCGACCTCCACCACCCATTGGGATACATTTAGAAGTGTTAGAAGTGTTTGTCGTGTCATTTTTCATGTTTTATGTTGTTATCTCCGTTTGAGTCATGTTTCATCCCTCTTTTAATATTAATAAAAGTTTATTTGTGTTTCTACTATTTTTCCTACTTTTTCCGGCATCGTTTGGTATCAGAGCTAGCTCAACTCTAGTCTCATCCTAAGGTCTCCTGGCATCCGCCCCTACCCAATTCATCTCCAACAATTTTTTTTTTGCCGATTCCCAACCCTAGCCATATCACCGCAAAGAGGTACGCCAGACCCGACCTAGGAAGAGATTCAAAAATAAATTTGTCGTCAGCAATGGAGACTAGCAAAGTTGGATGACGAAAATCAAAAAGAGATCACCTTCGATTGTGATCGAGAAATTCGAGGGAAAGACAGGACGAGGAGATGAATCTGTTCCATAGGGAAGTCCGCAATGACAAGAAATATCGACCACGCCATTTTGGCATTCAACATCAAAGGAGGTTGAGAGGAGAGGTCTCGTATGGAGGTCAGCAGGACTTTGTCATCAAGATGGACCTCCTAGAATTTGAAGGAGGTACGGATCCTAATGAGTTTGTCAAGTGGCTGCAATTAGTTGAATGGATTTATGAACATAAAGATGAACCAGAGAACAAATGAGTCAACCTAGCTGTCATTAAACTAAACAAAAATGCCTCATTATAGTGGGAAAATATACAAAAACAGAGGTAAAGGGAGGCAGCGAGAAGATACCTAAGTGAAGATGAAGAAGGTAATGCAAAAAAAGTATCTCCCACACCCTCACTATTGTCAGGAAATGTTTCTTACAGCAGGAGGATCTTTCGGTTGAGGAGTTCACAGGCTAACAATCCAATTAGATCACTTACAACTGAAACGCGAACGGACGGAGCGAAAGGAGCATACAATAGTCAAATAGCTCGGGGTCTGACCCGCCATCAACAATGTGGTGCAGTTCCAGCTATATTGGACACCAGGGGATGTTCGGACATTAGTCTTGAAGGTGAAAAGACAACAGAAGCAGAACCGGCAACAATTATCTTTCAGGCAGCAACCTCTATGCGGGTTGTGACCAACAATTACCACAACTGACAAGGATATACAGAAATCAAAGGCAAGCCCAGACTTGGGAATGACACTACGGATCAAAGAGGGGAGAAATAGGAGAAGAGTAACTCCTTCGACACCATGTTGTTGACCTCAATTTTCGTGAGGTCTAGTCTTCCGCTTAGGGTTTAGGATCTAGCCTTAGGAACCACCCTTCGACTATCTTATAACCTTAGAAATGGGACCCGCCTTGTTCTAGAAATTCAACCTGCTTCTGTACTCTTTTGTGGTTTCGCGTGTGTGATATTGAATTCTAACACTTAGAAGGATGAAACCAACATGAGAAACCCAAAAGGGATCCCTATAGGACCTTTTGAGCCTTAGGGTGACCTTTTGCACAATTCGCACTCCCGCGCGCACAAGCTTCGCAATTCGGAGAGTCGATATGTCCGATCGCCGCAATTAGCATTGCCTGCGTTGTTACTTGTCGAACGCTCAATTAAACCTTTTGGGACGATCGATCACGGGTCAAAATTTTGTAAAATTTGAATTTCGACGCGTTTTTGACCCGATTGTCGACGACGTCGTCCGAGCGACCCCGGATGACGAAACAGACTGCGCCAACGCGTCCAGAACGTCGATTTTGCCCTTAGGACCTCCCTTCGACCATCTTAGAACCTTAGAAATGGGACCCGCCTTGTTTTAGAAATTCAACTCGCTTCCGTCCCCTTCTGGAGTTTCGCGTGTGTGGTATCAACTTCTAGCACTTCGAAGGGCAAAACCAACATGAGAAAACCCAAAAGGGATTCCCTATAGGACCTTCCTGAGCCTTAGGGTGTTGCACAATTCGCACTCCCGCGCACAAGCTTCGCAATTCGGAGAGTCGATATGTCCGATCGCCGCAATTTGTATTGTCTGCATTGTTGCCTGTTGAATGCTCAAGTAAACCTTTTGGGACGATCGATCGCGGGTCGAAATTTTGTAAAATTTAAACTTCGGCGCGTTTTGACCCGATTGTCGACGACGTCGTCCGAGCGACCCCGGATGACGAAACGGAC